ACTCAGCATCCTTCAAAGTCACTTTAAATTAAAAAAAAGGAATGGTGACAGGTCCTCTTTAGAGCTCTGGACAATCCTTCCCTTAATACTGACCAAAAATCAGATGAATAAAATATGTTCAGCAAGTGCATGGTACAAGTCTTCAGACTTGTAATTTTATAACAGACTTCAGTAATTCTATAACACGTGGATGTAGTAGTGCATTTTAAAGAGATTCTCACTGCTACCTCAACAGTTACAACAGATGAAACAGATTTTTTTTTTTCTTTTTTTTTTCTTTTTGAAACAACTCTGAACAACTATGTTTGGGACTGAACTGGGTCTTTTCCAAGAGAATGTTCTGCTTCCTCATGTTTTTAGTACAGATTTAGAGGGTGATAGTGACATGCGGTGAAAGCTAGTAGATTGGGATGGAGCTGGCCTGAGCAGTGATCTGACTCCAGCCTGTCATGCCTGTGAGAGAGGTCCGAAGCCGTCTGGTAGGGTGCCCAGAGGCTTGGCAAGACGGGGTGGTGCAAACGGCTTCCTCCCCTCTTCCCAAAGAGGGCCCTGGAGAAAGGAGCGCAGAACTGGGCACCGAGTGTGGACTGGAGGCTAGCATTGCTCGGTCTTAGGGACTGGGCAGGCCTCTGGGTGGGAACTACCCGCTCTCGTCTCCAGTTTTTTGGCCTCTCTGCAGGATGGGAGTGATGGACTGCTGATGTTGAAAGGAGTAGAAAGAAGCAATTCTCAAAGGGAGTAACCAAGAGAGAGGCTGAGGGCTGCTTTTCCTGGCATCTGCTGTTGCTGAACCCAGGCAGCTGAGTTGGGGGAGCCTACTTGGGTGCCTCTGAAAAGGAGGTGCCTCTTCTCTTCTTGTCACTTGCAGACAAGGAAGAGAAACTGGTAGCAGCGTCTTAAATTTACCAAAGGCAGGGCGGGTGAACTGCTATGTAAGCAGTTCTACCTGGGCTTTCAAACACATCTTTTTGTGATCGACCGCCTCCTCTGGAGTGTATTCCTGCCGCAGCCTTACATCTATTCCCTGGCACTCGGTGTATGCCCTGCCTCAGCAGGGGCAGGTTTTGTATGTCCTGTGCTGCGAAGCAGGCTCTCAAGAGGAGGAATTGGCTTTCATTTAACCTTTGTATCTCCTTCTGCAATTTATGTTTAAAGGCACATCTCAGGCATTCAATGCCACAGTGTGCTTTAGTGTGCCCTGTTAGTTGTCTGAAAACCGTGCTAGCTGTAGAAGCCAGAAATGTACATTTGAATATGCGGTTAAAAATAGCTTTGTTTGTTTTAAAGCACCCTCCCCTACCTGGTATTAATTTCCATGGAGTTGAAGAATTTTCAATTCTCTGGGTTTCTGTGATGGCTGCACACTGAATTTGGAATATTACCCCTTCCAAACAGAGTTTTAATGACATCAACAGTAAGTTCCTTCCGATGTACCGAAATCCTTACAAACTGTTATGTCTTAGAGGAGAGATAACTGCTGAATATTCTGCTGTGTTGTTGTTCTATGTTTTTTCATTCTTCTTCTCTTTTCTTGTATGTTAGAATTGAACACAATTCAATTCTTCATTAGGTGTTCTTGGACTGGTAGCAGTATTGCTTTGGCTTTGTTCCTAAGTGCAAGTTAATGTAACTTTCCAGTTAATGTTAATTCCAGCTTTCCAAAGAAAAAAACAAAACAGAATAACCTGACAGGCTAGTTATCGGGCTGTGGTTATGTGTTCAGGTGTATCAAACTTGTATATTATCAGATAACTTGGCAGTACCGACTTCATTTGGACCAGGTATGAAAACACAGCCATGTTTCTGTTTTGTAAACCAGAATACATTAGAGCACACGGTAACTGAGCTGGCTGTGGCGGAATAGATGATATCTAGTCAGTCATAAACATTGTTCCATAAAATGCTGAAAAGCTTGCATCGGTAGGGTGAGCTTGTGCAGTCTGGTGCTTTGTACTGTGTGGCCATGGAGTTCTCGTTCTGCTGCAACGCTTCCCAAAACCAGGCTTGCTGTCCTTTGGCATTGCAACTTCTAGTCCTCATTTACTGTTACGTTGATAAGTTTGGCAGTTTACCTGGAGAGCTTCAAGTGGGAAAGTGTAGCAGTAGGGTTGGGAGAAACCTTCTTGAGGGAAGGGGATGCATGTTAAGAGCTGCGTTAGACCCAAGACACACGTAAGGACCCTGATAAACTTTATCTAAGTAGGCTGTGGAAGATGAGACATACTTCTGGGGGGCTACAGCTGCGCATCCGGGCTTGAAGGGGAGCTGGAACGGCTGAGAACATGTATGGCAACTGGCCTAACAAACTGCAGAAATGAGGCAATAGAAGGATTGGGACTGTCTGCAAAAGAGAGAACCAGCAAAAGTACTAGCTTAACAGAGAAGGAAAGCGGTCAGAAGACGATAGGCTTGGAGATAGATAGAACCCTGTGAGGCTGAGAAGGAAGACTTCGCTGTGTCAGGTACTGCCCGGAAGATACGTGAAGCTGCAAGCACAAAAGCTATCTCCTTGTTTGATTCCGGCACTGCTTAGGGGATCTACGTATTAGGTAGCTTTGTAAATAAAAGGCCGTGTATCATAGCCTTCAGACCTGTTGAACTTTTCTCTTCCTGTAGAAACTATCCATTGGTTAACTTCTGGGGGCAAAAAAAACCAGGCAGTTTTCTCCACTGCACAGTTAACGGGCTGGTCTGAATGTTATTTCAATCACTTATTACCATTCTTTAAATCAAAAACATTTTAAAAAGTTTTAAAACTTGTTTCCCCCGTTTTCCAAAAGTCCTAGCAAAAAGGTAGCAAGAAAAAGTAAGTGTTGTGAAGAGTTCATTATGGAAGGAAAACCTCTTCTGAGGCTTGACTGGAGGCTAATAATGAGTTTCCATTGTCTGGAGGTACGATGGAATGAGAATAAAATGGGCAAGGCGCTGGAGTTGGGGGTAAAGCTGGTTTTGTTCCGTCCGCGCTGCAGGTTGCAGATGAGTTAAGTCCATTCTTCTTTGTACCTTCATCTATAAATCACAGATGATAGCACCTCCTCTGTGTGCCTGGTCCACTTAGATATTAAACATTTTGGAGCAGAGGCTGCCTCTGAGTCTGTCTTTGTACGGCACGGCAGGGTCTCAGTCAAAGCAGGGTGCTGGCAAGTTCTGCGCAATAATATTCAAATGCTATAATCAAAGGTGGTGTTACCACAGCTACGCGTGCTTCAACAACTTTTTTAAAAAAAAAAAAAAAAAAAAAAAAAAAAAAAAAAAAAAAAAAAAAAAAAAAAAAAAAAAAAAAAAAAAAAAAAAAAAAAAAAAAAAAAAAAAAAAAAAAAAAAAAAAAAGGAAAGAAAAAGGGGAAAAAAAAGTGTACTTCAGCCATACACGATCTGAGCTGATTCACGCTGGAAATGAAATACTGTCCAGAAGACGTGCAGTGTCCAAGATGGAGGGGAGAAGGGATTTCCTTGGGAACAGCTTTTGAGTTTTGTATTTTATCTCATACGCTTGCCTTGAAAAGGAAGGCAAATGTGCTCTCTTTGCTTGTCTACCAGGAGAAGTAACTGCTAAGTAAGGTATGTGATGGATTTAAGTAGAACTGGAAGTACGGTGTACTCTGTGTTCTGAGAGAGTTGGCTGTGGGGAGTTAATATACCTAGAACATCTTCTCCATCTTGGTGTCTGTGATACAATTTTTGTGGAGGCACATCTCGCGTTTTGAGCGAGTGGTCAAGTCCTTGCTTTTGGGTACAGAACCAGGATGAAGGCAAGTATAGATGCCGTGAAGAGTAAGCAAAGGGATGTAAGGGAGGAGCACGGTGGAGTTCATGGCTGAACCCACAGGTTGCCAATGTCTTCAATGCTTATGTACATCAAGACAATAAGGAGGCTCTGTTCTTCTCCTTGTCCCTTGGTTGTGAAGGCTCTTCCCGCTTTTCTCCTAGCGTGGAAACAAGCATGCGAAGGTTTTAGGCATGAGGTTATCTAGCGCCGCAGACGGATGGGGGATGGCAAATCCGGCAGGGCTCTGCTGTTCAATTTGCCTGTGCGAAGACCCTGAGGAGGCAGCCTGGCTGCTGCACGCTACCGCGGGGGAATGGGTCAGGTGGGTGGGATGGCCATTACTGACCTCCAAGGCACTTCTTCCTCCTTCAGCAAGGGGACTAGCAAGCTCAACTCTCCTGGCTCCCCATCCCAGCTCTGCTTTGTTCCCTTCTTTCTCTTTTGGTGGCAGGTGTGATCTGGTCTTCATCTGGAGCTGGACGCAGCTCTCCTTTCTCGGCACGGCAAAATTTGTTATTGGTTATGCTTCTTGGCAGCCCGAAGCTGACTATGATTGTGTTGCGTTGTACGTGTGTGTGCATGCTGCTGTAAGGTGGTGGGGTCCCCCGGCCGGAGCATGGGTACGGGCTTAGATAGAAGTAAGTGTAGTTGGCTTGCTGAGGGACTGTGTTTCCAGGAGAAATAGGTGAGGGAAGGGATTAAATGAGGTGAGTGGGGTCAGGTCAGGTGCTTGGAGGAAGCCTCCCAGAGGCCGGAGCGAACGCCAGGCTCGCTCCAGTCAGCCCCAAGATGGGCAGTTTGGACCACAGACAGATAGCTGACACGTATTAGTTACAATGTCACTAGGTGAAGGGCTCCGCTTACACCTAAGGCATATGTAAAGCAAACCGTAGTAGTGGGATATTCCTATTTGTTCTGGACCCCGTGGTCTCTTTGCTGGCAGCAGAAAGGTGAGGTTTTCACGGTGTTGCCCCTACTTCAGCGCTCACCCCGATGGCGGCTGGCATTGCTGCTCTTGCTTGGCTTTCAGCGGCTTTAACAGAGACGCTGCCACAGTCGACTGGTCAAACGAAGCAAAATGTCACAGGGGGCAACTATTTTGATCCCTTTCACTGGGGGGGCAGAGGGGAGGGAAGAAGGGGGCCATAGTAAACGTGATAACAGACCTGAAGTTAAAAAGCGTTTCTCTGAGCTTGGACAATGTTTGCTGGGCTCTGCCTCTCTCTTTGAGCTAGAGTGAATGTGGAAGGTGAGTTGCTGCGAACCACCGTTTCTCCTCCTGCTAAAGGAACCCGATGGAACTGCTGGATCTGTGGATGGACTGGAGGTAGGTCTGGGCAGCCTTGTTTGGGACTGGGCGCCGAGAAGCAGAATCATTCAGGAGGGATGCAGTGATTTCCAGTCTGAAATCCTAACGCTTCCTTTTCCCTCTGTGGCAGACCTGGTATTTCACAGACTTTTTCCTGGTGATATGGAACTGGACATGACCAGTATAAGACTCTTCTCAGGTGCAAGGTCTTTTGCACCGGGTTCTGTTATTGTAATGCAGGAGAGCTTTCTAGACAGTCTTAGGAGCTGGAGAGTCCTCTGAAAGCAAGCTCTTGGGTTTTCTCAAGTGGGCGTGAAATCCTGTGCCCTGCAACACATTTGAAAGAATACAGACGTCCAGTGGAAACCTGTCCATTTTGCCTTGTGTTATTGCTTGCTTAATTGATGCTAGGTGGATGATGACAGAGTGATTTAATGAAAATTCATTTGTTTTATCCTGTGTATGATCTGTCTAGCCTGTACTAGCATATTACAGTTACTTCTTGGATAACATCAGGCTTGTGGTTTGTTGTCAGTGGCAAATGCTCTTGCTGAGCCAACTTTTTGATCTGTTTAAATCATTAAGGTAAGTGGCATAACATCTCCCTGGAATGTTGTGATAGCAACATAAATGGTGTTCGGTGTTAGGAGAAGAAAGGTTGTATGTCTGTCTGTATCTCTCGGAAACTGTTGAATGTTTTTAGGTCTTAATCTGCAGCCATAACTACCCAACTCTAACCTGCAATTACTGATTGGGAGCAGAGCCAGCAAATGCTGCAGAGTTGGAACTGGTATTCTGAGAATTGTGGAAAACAAAGCCGGGAGCGGAGCAGCAAAGGGAATTGGTTTGTGATAACTGCGTGTACAAGAAACAATGAGAGACAGAGGAAGACAGGGGACACGTATAATGGGCTCTGTGTTTCTCAGAGAGACCTAGTTAGGAAGATGAGGAATAAATAAGTCTTTGAGTCATTCCCTTTTCCGTATTTGAAAGGCTCCTAAACATGTCGTCACAAACCATCTGCATGCTGAAGATGTGCAATTTGATAAGGTATGAAAGATTGTGTTATAAGTGTGACAATAATAAGGGCATGTCTAAACACACAGCAAATATTTTCCTTCTCCTGTGGAAGATGTTTACACATGAAAGCACAGTTTAGGTTTTGTCAGCCGAAGTGGTAGATGATGACACCAAAAGCAGATGCCTCTAGTAAAGCTGATTTCTTGTAATTAGTAAATGAATAGTGGGTTTGTGCAAACTTATGGGTGAGAGGAAAAATGCAGGGAGTCTGCCGACATCTCTGCAAAAGTAATATAATTTGCTAGTACAAGGAGGTGAGTGACTTTGCAAAATGCAAGTCAGTGAGGAGTGAGGTCCCACAGGAAGCAGCTGGTGGTTAGTTCTCGATTCAAGAAGGCCCACTAGCTGTTTGGGACCAGCGAACGCTTCTCAGTGGAGTGCGGGAACCGAAGCACTGCGATATATTGCTTATGCCACAGGAAAGGAAAAGATGTGGATGGCGAGCTGGGGGAGAGCTCTGGGGATCTGAGCTGCCTGCTACAGCTTCCCCTGCGAGACTGAGAGTCACGGGGCAGCGACTGCTGCTTGTTGAGAAAACCTAGCCCGTCCTCTGCAGGAACTGCTGCCCCGCTCTCTCGGTCTTTCTCCTGTCACCAGCTGCATCTTGTGCCTGTTCCCATCCTCCAGCACAGATGTGAGGGCAGGGCTGGCTGGGATCTGGCCGGGAAACCCTGCGTTAGGACAAAGAATGCTCTTCCCTGATGCCCTTGCTGGGAAACAACTTGCTGGGAAACAACAGCTCGCTGTGGGAGTGCTCAGGGCTGCTCCAGGCTGCAGCACAGGTGAGAATGCGAGAAGCATAACGCTGGCTTACAGCCAATGGTATTTCTTCTTACCATTCTTCCTCCTTTTATTTTCTTTCCCCACCCCAAAGCATGGGAATGGAGTAATTGCATTTTGACCCAATTTCTAAAATCACTGTAGCATAGACTGTGAAGGAGGGGGAGGAGAACCGCTAAAAAATGAAAACCAGCCATTAGCTAGTACCAGTGGGGCAGGAACATCACCAGGCTGTTAGAAGTATGCACTAACAGGCTTGTAGAACAACTGTTATCCTGCATGTTTTTATATATATAAGAAAAAAAAGTAATTGTGTTTACATTTTTCGGTATTTGATCCGTGATACTCAAACCTTATAGGACTGAGTTCAGGTTGACTTCAGATGAAGTACTCTAAGCATAGATGCTTGTGTAAAGTGCCTGGATTTTCAAAACTTGGCTGGAGATTTCACGGCAGCCTTTCTTGTGGTTATTTCTGGCATCTCTGGCTGCCAGTTGGAACGTGGGGCTACAGATATGTGTGGAAGTGGAAAGGAATGGGTGTGAGCGCTTGTGTGGAGTAGGAGCCTTTTAATAGAAACAGGCTTGGTTTAAGATGGGTTTTTTGAAATGCGCAAAGACTTGGGGAGCAGATGTATGAAATAGAAAGCAATTTCCTCATTCCAGCTATTAATACAAGAGGGGAAAAAAGGTCCTTTGAAGTGATTTCAAACAACAGTTAATATCCCTTGGAATCTCCCCATCAAGTCGGTAAGAAGTCTTGATGTGAGAAGGAAGTTGGAATTTAACCTCACAAAATAAGATAGGCAGCAAAGTAGAAGGAAAAGACCAGAAGACGTTGTCCTGAGTGATGGGAATAGAGTTTCCCCCGACTTCTGCTGCATCGGTGTCCTCGCTGCCTCTGTTGCCATCCTGGATCAGGAGGCTGCCCTGGCCCGGCCCAAGTAACAGTCCCTGTTCCTTTTGGGCAGGGAATGGTAAAATACTCATTGAGGGGCAAGGGGAAGCAGCTGTGCACTGACAGGAGAGGTTATTCAGAAATTTCTCGATGGTTTCTGGGCACACAAGCGCCGTTCCCCTGCCTTACTAGTTGAACCCAGCGATCAGCTCACAACCTGGTGTGGTCCTTGCTCACATTTCTATCTGTCTGTTTTACCCTGGCTTTGGCTGCCACCGGGCTGTCTGTGAGCCGGTTTGTCCATTGGATTGCGTCAGGGAGGGCGTCCCAGAAGCGGAGGCTCCAGGTGGAGACTTTGTTTATGCATTCGTACACTTCGAAACCACATTTGGACCCTCACCCTTCTGGGTTCTCACTGTAATATAGGTTAAGTGTTAATACATTTCAGGGGGGGAAAGGGTTGAGCTAATGCTACTTCTAGGGCATAGGTGGCACCTGGACTAGTTGCACAATAGGCCTAGTAATACCACGGGTGCTTAGACATGTATTATGCTGTCTCTGCTGCAGCAGAGAAACAAAGGATGTTAGTGCCCTGGCCTGCATTTTCCCACCAGAAACAAGGCTGAAAACGAAGACAAAATCATGCGCTGCAAGGCGACTCTTTGCCGCTCCACTGCACATAATAGCTTTGTAAGAAAATACTCTAGTCTCAGAGGAAGACCTGGTAGGTGCCTTGAAGATGTCCTCTCCCTTGGTGGGGAAGGACGGGAGCTTTGACGTGGGGCCATGAGCGTGGGGGGAAAACGCAGGCGAAAAGTTCAAGGCTCTGAGAGATGGAGATGTTTCTTGTATGTTTGTATTAATAAAGTGATATGTGAGATTCTCCAAAGGAAATAATTTATTCTGGTGTTGTGTAAGCATAAAATGAAAGCTTGCCCTACTATTTTCTTCAAATGCTCCACCAGAACATGCTGTCCCTTCATACCTGTCAATACTCTGTCATGCCCCGAGTCCCATAAAGCACACAGAACAGAATGTTGTCTCAAGACAGTAGTCTCCTGTTGTTACATAAATGTTGAGGTGAAGCCTGAGTTTATTAGTTTGTAAGGCAGAAGATAGTGTTTCTGCACGTTTTTACTTCATACAATGCCTTAATTTCTATTAGTCTTAAGCCGATATGCCTTGAATTTATTTTGCTTACTGGAAGCCTGTAGAAGCTGAGGCCAATCGCATACTTCATCTCTCTTGTACGTGGCAGCCTGGTCCCCTAAGCCTTTCTTGCAGATTAGAGCTTCTGAGGTGCTTCACAACAAGGCTCCGCTACCTGCCCTTACTGTGGCTTGCAGAGCACCAGGCAGTCCTTGCCCTTGAACTTCTGCTCAACAAATTGCCTCCTTCCCATGGAGAGGAGATAGGGGTTTGCTCTGATGTGGGCTGCTTGCTGCAGCAGTCTTAGGGACTGCTGCTGGAGGTAACCGCAGGAGGTATTTAAATAGGTGGTTTCAGCAACAGGTCTTGTGGGTAGCTTTCTCCTCAGTGCAGTTCCTCTGAACTCGCTGGTGTTGCCTTACGGGAAGTGCATTGGGAACAATGGTCAGAATATCTGCCAGGGTTGGTCCGGGAAGGTTTTCATACCTCAAGGTATCTAGCCAAAGGCCTTCAGATGGAGCGCGTTGCCTTTGGGTGATTTCAGCTCAGGTTGCTTCTCCCTTCCTTTGTGATGAATCGTCTGCCCAAGCTTGCAGAAGCTGCTGTAGCAGAAGG